ATTATTCTCTACTGTTCCAAAGCTTGATTGTGTAACGATCCAGACATAATTTTTACGTACCTAACATACCGACAGGGAACTCTGGTGGAGCATTATTCTCTACTGTTCCAAAGCTTGATTGTGTAACTATCCAGACATAATTTTTACGTACCTAACATACCGACAGGGAACTCTGGTGGAGCATTATTCTCTACTGTTCCAAAGCTTGACTGTGTAACGATCCAGACATAATTTTTACCCGTGATGCCCAGGTCACTGGCGGCTCCCATTACTTCTGCGCCTTCCTCTTTCGTAGAGTACAAAAGAAACACTCTAACCTCACTGTGCTTGAGAAATTCTATCTCTTCAGCTATTTCTTTGCGGGTCTTGTTCTTGATGACGAAGACGTCCATTATATTGTATCTGTAAAAATCAAGTAACAGATTTACATTCTTTACTTAGTTAATATGTTGCTAGTTCTCAATTAAAAGAAAAAAAAAAGACGAAGCAGAGGCATTTGAAAGTGTAACAACAATATAATAACCATGTGCTAATACCTATGTAACATACATCAATATGATAACCATGTGCTAATACCCATGTAACATACCTCAATATAATAAGCATGTGCTAATACCTATGTAACATACCTCAATATAATAACCATGTGCTAATACCTATGTAACATACATCAATATAATAACCATGTGCTAATACCTATGTAACATACCTCAATATAATAACCATATGCTAATACCTATGTAACATTCCTCAATATAATAACCATGTGCTAATACCTATGTAACATACCTCAGTATAATAACCATGTGCTAATATCTATGTAACATACATCAATATTATAAACATGTGCTAATACCTGTGTAACATACCTCAATATGATAAGCATGTGCTAATACCTATGTAACATACCTCAATATAATAACCATGTGCTAATACCTATGTAACATACCTCAATATAATAACCATGTGCTAATATCTATGTAACATATCTCAATATAACAACCACGTGCTAATACCTATGTAACATACCTCAATATAATAACCATGTGCTAATACCTATGTAACATTCCTCAATATAATAACCATGTGCTAATACCTATGTAACATACCTCAATATAATAAGCATGTGCTAATACCTATGTAACATAATCAATATAATAACCATGTGCTAATACCTATGTAACATACATCAATATAATAACCATGTGCTAATACCTATGTAACATTCCTCCGCTATATGAAAACAAAAGTCATTTATACGTATTGCTTAACTTTGAATAATACCGCTTCCAATGTTAACTGGAAGAGCAACTACTGTATAGTTCATTGTTACGCAGTAGAAGGCATCAGAAGACCACTCATATGACATAGAAGTCAAATTATTGTCGACAGCGGATTACGAAACTGCTTTCTAGATAATCGTATAGTTGTCCAGACAACTGGACATGGCTAACCTTTATTTACAACAGCTACAGATAACCAATATCTGTCGATTCTAGTTCTCTGCAATAATAGGGTACGTACTCGAAGTTGAATCAAATGTTCACAGTTTACATGTGGTTGGAAGTAACTTTATAAGATCAGTGTGTATGACAACGCCTAATGAGATGCATTTAACTCAGAGCAAAGCACAAAACAACTCGCCCGCGATGTTAAGAAAAATTATTCAATGGACTAATAACGTGTGCAGTAGTGTTCTTTTTACCGCTAAGTTCTGCTTCACAATAGGATAGAATCTGGGACCAGATTAAACAATTTTTTACAAAGGCATGTGGTGCTTACGGTAATGTTGTATGTAGTGAGGGCAGCAATAAACCCTGGAGAACGCATGAGCCTCTTCACTCTGCAGCACAGTACCATTAATACCACACATCACAGGAACCACATCTTAGAACTTGAGTGCTCCAATATGCTTCTGCAATTGGACTGGGCTTGGGCCTGATGGATGAAAACGCCAACTCCCTCTCCACCCCCACCATACTAAACTAATCAACAGATTTATTGCATAATGGGTGATTGCGCAAATGGAGCAGCCTGCATGTTCATTATACTTGAGTCACACTAATCATGTAGGGGATGCTCTTGGGATACGCATCATATCCCACAAGTAATTCTGGATACTAAAGATGCTATGGAAGCATTGTTTTATAATGGTGTTTTTTCCTTTGTCATAATTATAATATGTATTATATATTTCAGCTGCCCTATAATTCTGTTGTGCTTTTTCTTATCGTTAAAATGTTTTCCATAAGCCTAAAATGTTGCAACTGTTTGGATTTATGGGGAATGAAAAAAAAATCAGATTATAATTTAACAAAAAAGCTCGCGGGTTCGAATCCCTGTCACATCAAACATGCTCGCCCTTTCAGCCGTGGGGGCGTTATAATGTGACGGTCAATCCCACTATTCGTTGGTAAAAGAGTAGCCCAAGAGTTGGCGGCGGGTGGTGATGACTAGCTGCCTTTTCTCTAGTCTTACACTGCTAAATTAGGGACGGCTAGCGCAGATAGCCCTCGTGTAGCTTTGCGCGAAATTCAAAAACAAACAAACAAACAAAAAAGCTACAGCTCCAATTAGTTTTTGTTCTTCCTCAAACGTATTGCAGCATTTGTTTACAACTGCTCTTTAGGTGTGGTCACGTGAACCTAGCATTTACATAAGAAGTCAGTATCCCAAAACTCCAACCTTTTTTCTAACATAAATGAGTATATTGCTTTTTACCAGTGTTTTAAAAATCGACTAACAGTTTAAAATAAAATGCATCTTATTAAATTTAATTAGCAAAACAAAGAAACGTAAGACTGGCAGTCTTCCCTTTTATTCTGTCAACAGGCAGATGATGTTCATGTTCTTTAACACACGAAACGGTATTTTCTAAAAATGAGATAAAATTTACTTTAATGTATGGATTTTGTTCCTCATTGCAAAGAAATGTAGTTGCAGTTCATAAAGAATTTGACTGGCTTCTGATACGTATTACAATTTCAAATAGCCTGAAATTGAGTTAAATTGTAATTTAGATTTAGTAGCTAAATATATGCCGATATGTAACCAATTTATGATATTTGCCAACAAGATTGATACACACAGATTTCTTTTTAATGCAAATATGTTTTAATATACAACCAATAAC